CAATGGGATGATTTTCCATCACTATTTTCTTTTTTTTTTTATGTGTTGTTTTCTTTCCTTTGTAAAAATTTTTTATTTAAATTCAATTTAGTTAACATACAGTGTATTATTAGTTTCAGGGATAGAATTTAGTGATTCATCAGTCACCACTGCTCATTATATCACGTGCCCTCCTTAATGCCCATCACCCGATTACCTCATCTCCCCCCACAACTCCCCTCCAGCAACCCTGTTTGTTTCCTATAGTTAAGAGTCTCTTATGGTTTGCCTCCCTCTCTGTTTTTATCTTATTTTATTTTTCCTTCTCTTCCTCTCTGTTCCTCTGTTTTGTTTCTTAAATTCCACATATGAGTGAAGTCATATGGTTTTTGTCTTTCTCTGATTGACTTATTTTGCTTAGCATAATACCCTCTAGTTCCACCCACATCATTGCAAATGGCAAGATTTCATTCTTTTTTTTTAATTTTTTTATTGTTATGTTAATCCCCATACATTACATCATTAGTTTTAGATGTAGTGTTCCATGATTCATTGTTTGTGCATAACACCCAGTGCTCCATGCAGAACGTGCCCTCCTCAATACCCATTACCAGGCTAACCCATTCTCCCACCCACCTCCCCTCTAGAACCCTCAGTTTGTTTTTCAGAGTCCATCATCTCTCATGGTTCGTCTACCCCTCCGATTTCCCCCCTTCATTCTTCCCCTCCTGCTATCTTCTTCTTTTTTTTTTTTCTTAACATATATTGCATTATTTGTTTCAGAGGTACAGATCTGAGATTCAACAGTCTTGCACAATTTACAGCGCTTACCAGAGCATATACCCTCCCCAGTGTCTATCACCAAGTCATCCCATCCCTCCCACCCCACCCCTCACTCCAGCAACCCTCAGTTTGTTTCCTGAGATTAAGAATTCCTCATATCAATGAGGTCATAGGATACATGTCTTTCTCTGTTTGACTTATTTCGCTCAGCATAATACCCTCCAGTTCCATCCACGCCGTTGCAAATGGCAAGATCTCATTCCTTTTGATGACTGCATAATATTCCATTGTATATATACCACCTCTTCTTTATCCATTCATCTGTCGATGGACATCTTGGCTCTTTCCATAGTTCGGCTATTGTGGATATTGCTGCTATAAACATCGGGGGGCATGTACCCTTTCGCATCCCTACTTTTGTATCTTTGGGGTAAATACCCAGTAGTGCAATTGCTGGATCATATGGTAGCTCTATTTTCAACTTTTTGAGGAACCTCCATACTGTTTTCCAGAGTGGCTGCACCAGCTTGCATTCCCACCAACAGAAGATTTCATTCTTTCTGATGGCTGAGTAATATTCCATTATATGTATATTATATAATACATATATACATATATAATGGAACATTTATATTTATATATATATATATATATCACCTCTTCTTTATCCATTCATCTGTTGAAGGACATCTGAGCTCTTTCCATATTTTGGCTATTGTGAACATTGCTAATATAAACATTGGGGTGTATGCACTCTTTTGAATCACTATGTTTGTATCCTTAAGGATACACTAGTAGTGCAATTGCTGGGTCATAGGGTAGCTCTATTTTCAACTTTTTGAGGAACCTCCATACTGTTTTCCAGAGTGGCTGCACCAGTTTGCATTCCCACCAACAGTATAAGAGGGTTCCCCTTTCTCCGCATCCTTGCCAACATCTGTTGTTTCCTGAGTTGTTAATTTTAGCCATTCCGACCAGTGTGAGGTGGTATCTCACTGTAGTTTTGATTTGTATTTTCCTGATGTCGAGTGATGTTGAGCATTTTTTTCATGTGTCTGTTAGCCATTTGTATGTCTTCTTTGGAGAAATGTTTTTTGGGTGTTGAATTGGTAAGTTCTTTACAGATTTTGGATATTAGTCCTTTATCTGATATGTCATTTGTGAATATCTTTTCCCATTCCATAGGTTGCCTTTTAGTTTTGTTGATTGCTTCCTTTGCTGTGCAAAAGCTTTTTATCCTGATGAAGTCCTAATAGTTCATTTTTGGTTTTGTTTCCCTCGCCTTTGGAGATGTGTCTTGCAAGAAGTTGCTGCATCCAAGGTCAAAGAAGCTGCTGCCTGTAGTTCTCCTCTAAGATTTTGATGGATTCCTGTCTCCACTTAGGTCTTTCATCCATTTTGAATTTGAATTTGTTTTTGTGTATGGTGTAAGAAAATGGTCCATATGCAGAAGAATTCTTCATTCTTCTGCATATGGCTGTCCAGTTTTCCCAACACCATTTGTTGAAGAGACTTTTTTCAATTGGATATTCTTTCCTGCTTTCTTGAAGATTAGTTGACCATGGAGTTGAGGGTCCATTTCTGGGTTTTCTATTCTATACTGTTGATCTGTGTGTCTATTTTTGTGCCAGTACCATACTGTCTTGATGATTACAGCTTTGTAATACAGCTTGAAGTCCGGAACTGTGATGCCTCCAGCTTTGGTTTTCTTTTTCAACATTCCTTTGGCTATTCGGGATCTTTTCTGGTTCCATACAAATTTTAGAATTGTTTGTTCCAGCTCTGTGAAAAATGCTGGTAGTATTTTGATAGGTATTGCATTGAATGTGTAGATTGTGTTGTGTAGCATAGACATTTTAACAATATTTGTTCTTCCAATCCATGAGCATGGAATGTTTTTCCATTTTTTTTTTTTTTTGTATCTTCCTCAATTTCTTTCCTAAGTATTCTATACTCTTCGGAGTACAAATCTTTCATCTCTCTGGTTAGGTTTATTCCTAGATATCTTATGCCATCACTACTATCTTACCCTGAATGAGGATATAGTGTAGTTGTTATCCATTTATAGTTCTCATCTGTGTCCACATACCAAGTGGACCCATTCAAGAACCAAACCTTTCCATCACTGGTTATAAGGGATCTCTCTGTTGCAGCCATAGGTGAGTAGAGAAGAGGCACTGGTACACAGTGACAGATGACATGAAGGTCATTATAAGCAATTGCATGCACCAGGCTTCTGATGGTTAACCAATGCCATGGCCTCTGTTGTTTGGGGATCCTATTCATTTTCTATTGTTAGTAGTGAGTTCAGGCCTGTAGAACCCTATCCTGCCCCTGTCTACGGAAGAGAGCCATCACCTAAATTCTTAGTAATGTTGGTGCTACTCTCACCAATATAATCCTTACTGTGCTGGAAAATGATGTATCTTTAGGATCTTTAATTTATTGGCTTTATAATAATAGTTAAAACCAGAACAGAATAGAGAGCCTAAAGTAAACCCATGCATATATGGTCAACTGACTTATCACAAAGGAACCAAGAACATACAATGGGGAAGGGCAGTTCCTTCAATAATGGTATTGACAAAACCTTACAGCCACATGCAAAGGAACGAAACTGGATTACTATCTTACGCCATACACAAAAATGAACTCAAAATTGATTAAAGACTTGAACTTAAAACCTGAAACCATAAAAGTCCTAGAAGAAAACATAGGCAGTAAGCTCCTTAACATTGTAATTATGTGTGGTGATGATGTTAACTACACGTATTATGGTGATCATTTTGCAATATATACAAATATTAAATGATTACCTTGTTTATCTGAAATAATATAATGTTATATATCTATTTTATCTCTATTAAAAGTGCATAATTAAAACTATAAATGTCCTATTATCAGTTTAAGTAAATTTCTATTGCCAAATCAGTTTTCAAAAAGAAAAATAACTGTTGAATTTCAGAGATCTTTGTATTTTTGGAATTGTGGATAAGGCGTTGTTAAACAGAGAAATCCCTCTATGGGATTACTATGACAACCTTTCATAAACGGGGTATCACATTCCTATATCCAGAGACAGCATTGTATCAGTGCTTTTTGTTTTCCACAGTTCATGCCCATTCTCATATGTCTAACAACATGTCTCTACCCCAGACCTTCTTCAACCTCCCTCAGGATCTTTTAATCTTTCTCTTTATAGGCCCTTGATCCGCAAAACCATTTGCCATTGCCCATGATCCCACATATGTACTAAGCTTGAGTTTAGATACAGTACTGGGTGACTCGGAAACAAGGGCAGGGACAGAAGCAGATTGGATACCAGAGTCTGATGACACAGCAAATAATTGCAACCACTCACCTATGACCCTGACCAACCTGGGACAGGAGGATTAACACTACCATAGTAGGAAGTTGGAAGTCTGAGAAAATCCTCTTTACCTAGTGGTTACTAGCTGACAACATGGATATTGGTTAAATAATGAAACAAAACAAAACATGAGTGGTTATTTCAAAACACTCATCAAAGATGTAGTAGAAAAAAAATTCTAAGAACTCTTCAGTGTTTGTTTTGTAGATTGTTCTTATCTTAAACTCAATTTACTTGAAATTGAACAAAATAAACTTTGAGACTCAAAGGTAGAGCATGCCAATGTTTATATTTCTAGCACTGGTACATTTTTCTCAGTCTCAAACTTTGTAATCATCTATGACTCTTACATTTCTTTAGATCCTACATTCAACCAATCCTTATCATTTTTTTCCTTAAAAATTTATTCATCCTGCTTTGTTTCCATTTTTGGCTTCTGACTGCAGACCCTTATTTCAGTTTTTGATTATGAATTAATGTCCTAATTGAGCTTTCCCTGTCTGAACAAGCCTGCCTACCACTGCCAGATTAGTTTTCCTTAAAATATATTTTCAACAGTTCATTTTTGACCCCAAATTATAAAAAAAAAACATAAATAAAAGCTTCTCGTCAAACACCCTTAAATAGGTTTAAAAAGAAAGCCCCAAACTGAGCAAGTTTATTTGCAACATGTTTGAGTGATTAGTTTTTAAACTGGTTACTACAAAAGGGATGCTTGCAACTTATAAGCAAAGATTCCAAAGAAAAACAGGAGAACATCATAAGTGGTAATTCACAAGTGAAGAAATATAAACAGACAATGCACATGAAAAAGTTGTAAGTTGATAATAGTGGAAATGTAAATTAAAATACAATGTCTTACCTTTCTGTGCTACCCAGAGAGGGGTCAATATGATATTCTGGGTTCCCATTATAATTAAAGGGAAATTTTCACACTGTCTGGAGCCTTTGATATCCCACAAATGAAGGAGGGCGATGTCCTCAAATCTCTTGCAGCAGGACTCTGCTCAGGTGCACCTGACTTGACTTCCAAATGGAACAGTACATCTACAAAGGAAAAGAGATAGCATCTATATCATAAACCTGAAGAGAACCTGGGAGAAGATTCTGCTGGCAGCTTGTGCCATTGAAAATGCAGTGCCATACCCTCCAGGAATACTGGCTGGTGGTACGCTGTGCCACTGGAGTCACTGCTATTGCCAGTCATTCCTGGAACCTTTGCCAACCACATCCAGCCTTTGGGAGCTGTGACTTGTAGTAGTTACTGATCCTGGGGCTCACCGGTAGCCTCTCACAGAGGCGTGTTGTGTTAATCGGCCTACTGCTGCTCTCTGTAACACAGACTTTGCTCTGCACTCTGTGGACACTGCCATCCCATGCAACAACAAGGGAACTCATTTTGCAGGTCTGATATGATAAATGCTGGCCCAGGGAGCTGTGCACATGCGTGGCAGAATCTCCCTTGAACATCCATGGGAGATAATGGGTGATCTCTACTTACAGAGATCCTGAAGATAGTCATAAGAACAGGCTGCTGCTGGCAATGTCCACAATAGCCAAACTGTGGAAAGAGCCAAGATGTCCATCGACAGATGAATGGATAAAGAAGAGGTGGTATATATACACAATGGAATATTATGCAGCCATCAAAAGGAATGAGATCTTGCCATTTGCAACGACGTGGATGGAACTGGAGGGTATTATGTTGAGCGAAATAAGTCAAACAGAGAAAGACATGTATCCTATGACCTCATTGATATGAGGAATTCTTAATTGCAGGAAACAAACTCAGGGTTGCTGGAGTGGGGGGTGGGGTGGGAGGGATGGGGTGACTGGGTGATAGACACTGGGGAGGGTATGTGCTCTGGTAAGTGCTGTGAATTGTGCAAGACTGTTAAATCTCAGATCTGTGCCTCTGAAACAAATAATGCAATATATGTTAAGAAAAAAAAAAAGAAGAAGAAGGTAGCAGGAAGGGAAGAATGAAGGGGGGGAAATCGGAGGGGTAGACAAACCATGAGAGACGATGGATTCTGAAAAACAAACTGAGGGTTCTAGAGGGGAGGGGGGTGGGAGGATGGGTTAGCCTGGTAATGGGTATTGAGGAAGGCACATTCTGCATGGAGCACTGGGTGTTATGCACAAACAATGAATCATGGAACACTACATCTAAAACTAATGATGTAATGTATGGGGATTAACATAAGAATTAAAAAAAAAAAAAAAGAACAGGCTGCTGCTGAAAAGGCTGTGACCAAGAAGGAATTTCAAGGTGAATGGACTGCTCCAGCTACCTAAATTTCCTGCTAACTCAACCTGAAATCTCAGACTGGTCTGAAGGTGTATGGGTTCCCTTTGTGCCTATCCAGTAGTTCCTTACTGAAGATTAGAGCTCTCAGCCTGTCATGGAAGACTGGTATGCAAGTCCCACTGCTCAGCCACTGAATGAGTAGGAAGAGCCACTGAGATTTTAGCCTCTTCTTCCACAGACTCTTAGACAGAAAATGGAAATAGGGGTAATGGAAAATAGTTTTTCTTTTTTTCTTTTTTTTTTTAAGATTTTATTTATTTATTTGAGAAAGAGAGTAAGCAAGAGAAAGAGAGAGAAAGCATGAGCAGGGGGAGGGTGGGGGGAGAAACAGACTCCCCACTGAGCTGGGAGCCCAATATGGGGCTTGATCCCAGGACCCTAGGATCATGACCTGAGCAGAAGGCAGACGCTTAACCGACTAAGCCACACAGGTGCCCCTGGAAAATAGTTTCTTAAAAAAGAAAATTCAGCTCATTATTAACTGGCTTTCCTGTTGGTCAAGGTTACAAAGAATGATAATCAGTGAAGAAGTGGAAAAACAGATCCCCTCATGAATACTGCTGAATTGAATGTAAATTAATGCTCTAGAAATTTTCTAGAAAAAGATTTCATAATATGTTCCTAAAATTGAAAAATATATATGATCTTTTATCTAGGATTTACACTTTTAGAAATTTATCCTAAGAAATAATTATGCATTTTCCCAAGGTTTATCTATAAAAATGCTTGTCTCAAAAACATTTATGCTGAAAAATGAAATATGAGAGAAAAATAAATAAGCTGGTTTAAAAAGTTGTGTAATCTCCACGTGGTAAAATACTTTATGCAATCATCAGAATGATGTAATAGAATATATTGTAGGGGGCGCCTGGGTGGCTCAGTCGGTTAAGCAACTGTCTTTGGCTCAGGTCGTGATCCTGGAGTCCCGGGATCGAGTCCTGCATCAGGCTCTCTGCTCGGCGGGGAGTCTGCTTCTCCCTCTGACCCTCCTCCTTCTCGTGCTCTCTGTCTCTCATTCTCTCTTGCAAATAAATAAATAAAATCTTTAAAAAAAAAAAAAGAATATATTGTAGGGAAATATATCCAAGGTAGAGTGTTAGGTAACAAAAACAAGTTACTAACTAGTATGTACAGTATGAAATCATTTTAAAAGAAAATAAATATGCATAAACAGAAAAAAGTCTCAAAATACATAGCCCAAAATGTTAATAGGATTTTCTATAGTGATCTTTCTTTTCTTTTTTTAAGATTTATTTATTTTAGAGAGGGAGAGAAAGAGAGAGGGAGAGAGTAGGAGAGCGGGAGGGGCAGAGGAAGGGAGAGAGAGACTCTCAAGCAGACTCTGGGCTGAACGTAGAGCCCGTTGTGGGGGCTTGATATCACGACCCTGACTGAGATCATGACCTAAGCTGGACACTCAACTGTCTGTACCACCCAGGCACACTGATCTTTCTTTTTAAATTAAAAAATATATCTTCCAAAATATGGAACATTTTATATAAAATCAATGTGTTTTTAATTGTAAAAATAAATGATTATTACTTACACACTAAAGAGAATACCTGAGGACCACAGTTGCTATAGATCCCACTGTCCTGTCACTTTTCTTTACTCCCCTTCCCTTCCACATAGCCAACCTGGGTCACTGAATTAACACAACCTACTTAGTCTGGAGGCTCTCACAGGGAGGACAGATATCCTGGCTGCATAATAATTCTTCAGTATTTGTGTTCATGGTCCTCTTCAATATTCAGCTTCAGGAATGACATAAATAATGTCAATCAGATAAGCCAAATGCCAAATCTATCCAGAAAATTAACAGGGTGACAGATTTTGAAGTTAGATTTTCCTCATATTCAACTGAAACATTTATATTTAAGGATAGGGTATTTGTTGTTCAAATGAAGATTTTTCTTTTTCTTTTTTAAAGATTTTATTTATTTATTTGAGAGAGAGAGAATGAAAGACAGAGAGCATGAGAGGGAGGAGGGTCAGAGGCAGAAGCAGACTCCCCGCTGAGCAGGGAGCCCGATGCGGGACTCGATCCCGGAACTCCAGGATCATGACCTGAGCCGAAGGCAGTCGCTTAACCAACTGAGCCACCCAGGCGCCCCCAAATGAAGATTTTTAATAAATGTCTTTTCCAGCCAGTTTATCTTTAAACTTAAGAAACAAATAAAAAATCTGTATTTATTTTGCTCAGCATAATACCCTCTAGTTCCATCCACGTTATTGCAAATGGCAAGATTTCAGGGTTTTTTGATGGCTGCATGATATTCCATTGTGTATGTATACCACATCTTCTTTATCCATTCATCTGTTGATGGACATCTGGGCTCTTTCCATAGTTTAGCTATTGTGGACATTGCTGCTATAAACATTGGGGTGGACGTACCCCTTCGGATCACTACATTTGTATCTTTGGGGTAAATACCCGGTAGTGCAATTGCTGGGTCGTAGGGTAGCTCTATTTTCAACTTTTTGAGGAACCTCCATACTGTTTTCCAGAGTGGCTAAACTAGAGGATATTATGCTGAGTGAAATAAGTCAATCAGAGAAAGACAAGTATCATATGATCTCACTGATATGAGGAATTTGAGAAACAAGACAGAGGACCATAGGGGGAAGGGAGGAAAAAATGAAACAAGATGAAACCAGAGAGGGAGACAAACCATAAGAGACTCTTAATCTCAGGAAACAAACTGAGGGTTGCTGGAGTGGTGGGGGGTGAGAGGGATTGGGGGGGGGGGCTGTGTGATGGACATTGGGGAGGGTATGTGCTATGGTGAGTGCTGTGAATTGTGTAAGACTGATGAATCACAGACCTGTACCCCTGAAACAAATAATACATTATATGTTTAAAAAAAAAAAGATAGTAGGAAGGGAAAAATGAAGGGGGGGAAATCGGAGGTGGAGACGAACCATGAGAGACTATGGACTCTGAGAAACAAACTGAGGGCTTTAGAGGGGAGGGGGGGTGAGGGGATGTGGGTTAGCCCGGTGATGGGTATTAAGGAGGGCACATATTGCATGGAGCACTGGGTGTTATACGCAAACAATGAATCATGGAACACTACATCAAAAACTAATGATGTAATGTATGGCGACTAACATACATAATAAAATAAAATTAATAAAAAAACTGTATTTAATCTTTTGAAAAGTTAAAAGAATAACGAGTAGCTTCCACTTCTTGTTTCAAGTTTTTATTATCACTAAATTATATTCTCTTGGTATAAAAAATATATATATTTTTTTTACATTTTTTAAAAGATTTTATTTATTTATTTATTTAACAGAGAGAGAGACACAGCGAGAGAGGGAACACAATCGGGGGAGTGGGAGAGGGAGACGCAGGCTCTCCGCTGAGCAGGGAGCCTAATGCAGGGCTCAATCCCAGGACCCTGGGACCATGACCTGAGCCAAAAGCAGACGCTTAATGACTGAGCCACCCAGGCGCCCTAAAATATATTTTAAAAAAAAATCTCAAACACACACATAAGTAACAAACCTATTAACATATACCTATAAACACAAACACGGCAATATATACACATCATATAAGACAGGGATGGTATTTCTGAATGGTTTAATCATGAATGGCAGCAGGTGTTATAAAAGTTCCCAGAAAATGATTAATCTTCATTTTTAGCACAGGATAACCTTTCATTTCATGGTGTACATTTCACAATATTAAAAGACAACAATTTGATTTACCTGATTAAAATCAGGAGGA